AGCTAGTGAAAAGCAGCCAATCAGCTTTCAGGCCAAGCATTACACTGTGACTCATACGGCTCAAGTGTGTACATTATATTATGATTTCTAATTAAAAAACAGCATGTTGAGATATGATTTGTTCTCAAAATTTACTTTTACTAAAATCTTTATAGTGGGAACGAATATGAGGGTGGCCCAAAAGTAAAAGTACTTTAGACAGAGTGAGAAGTTTTAGAGACATGTTTGTGCCAGAAGTCAGAAAGGATGGAACTTGTGGTCTGTTTTTGATGCGTAACAATATTTTAACATTTGAGTGACCCCGATAAACGCCGAGACTTGATGATGTCACATGCTCATTTTAAAGGGGACGTCACCTCTCACATAAAAACACAAACATATGTATTTCCACAATGTCATCTTTATTAACGCCACATACTCACGTAATTGCATGAACAAATACATCTCTACAGCGCCGTAATCAAAGCAGGAGCAGCCCAAGCCATTTGCATAATCCCACTAATATGAATGTTATCTTTATTTACCCAGGATGCATTGTACCAGCTCTACATGCACCGAGGCGTCACCGCAGAGGACCGGAGAGAGTAACCTCCGCGATGGTGGCTCTGGGGCGCGTTCAGGGACACTGGTGTGCGGTGCGACTGCCTCCTGCGCCTCTGCTCGCACCGCCACATACAGCCAGAGGGGGCGCCTGTCATGGCTGTCCTTGTACGTCAGCTACACACTTGTTATTGATTGATGGAGCTGAACTGTAAATGCCAACGGGAAATGTGACGGGCCACTGCGCCAATGTCAATTATGTTTCATGAGAGAATCTTCATCACAGAGACAAAAATGGTGGAATAACAGATTATTTATTAATGTTCAAGCCAGCATTAGAAGAAGAAATGGTTGGAAATTAACTGACTCTGAGGAGGACAGGGACTGGCCTCCTGCTGGGACTCTGAGGGGCACAGGGACTGGCCTCCTGCTGGGACTCGGAGGAGCACAGGGACTGGCCTTCTAATGGGACTCGGAGGAGCACAGGGACTGGCCTTCTGCTGGGATTTGGAGGAGCACAGGGACTGGCCTCCTGCTGGGACTCCGAGGGGCACAGGGACTGGCCTCCTGCTGGGACTCGGAGGAGCACAGGGACTGGCCTCCTGCTGGGACTCCGAGGGGCACAGGGACTGGCCTCCTGCTGGGACTCGGAGGAGCACAGGGACTGGCCTCCTGCTGGGACTCGGAGGAGCACAGGGACTGGCCTCCTGCTGGGACTCGGAGGAGGACAGGGACTGGCCTTCTGCTGGGACTCGGAGGAGCACAGGGACTGGCCTCCTGCTGGGACTCGGAGGAGCACAGGGACTGGCCTTCTGCTGGGACTCGGAGGAGCACAGGGACTGGCCTCCTGCTGGGACTCGGAGGAGCACAGGGACTGGCCTTCTGCTGGGATTTGGAGGAGCACAGGGACTGGCCTCCTGCTGGGACTCGGAGGAGCACAAGGACTGGCCTCCTGCTGGGACTCGGAGGAGCACAGGGACTGGCCTTCTGCTGGGATTTGGAGGAGCACAGGGACTGGCCTCCTGCTGGGACTCGGAGGAGCACAGGGACTGGCCTCCGGCTGGGACTCGGAGGAGCACAGGGACTGGCCTTCTGCTGGGACTCGGAGGAGCACAGGGACTGGCCTCCTGCTGGGACTCGGAGGAGCACAGGGGGCAGGCAGAGGCAGCGTTTCAGATTAATGCAGCGATAATATAGAACTGTCTTCCTGAAAATGTGAGAAAGGCTTCTTCTTTGAATTTTTTTAATCCAGGTTATAACAGTTCAGTTTCTGCAACAACTGAGGGATTGTATCTTTACTCTTTTTAATGTACTGTTATTATTTATGACTAATGTCTTGTGTGTTTGTTTGTATCTTGTTTTGTTCTGCATTTGAGTTGGCTCTTGTAAGAACTGTATTATACAAATAAACTTGTCACGAGGCACACAATATTAAAAGGAAGTAGCTTGAAAACGTGACCTCACCTTGCATCTCACACACACAGTATTATAGTAATCTTTATTTATATACCGCCTATCACAGACCAGAGTCACAAAGCGGTTTACAATTGTTATTATTTTTGGGCACTTGTCTCTCACTCCACACAGAGATGGGAGCGGGGCCAGTACAGGAGGCACATGCCAGAACTATTGTACATATTTTTAGTGGTAGGGGAAACCGGAGCACCCGGAGGAAACCTACGCAGAAAGGCCCTGGTCCGACCGGGATTCGAACCCAGGACCTCCTTGCTGAGAGGCGAGAGTGCTATCCACTCAGCCACCGTGCCGCCCTTTATAGACAAAGAACTCAGCCTAAACTCTGCTATAATGTTGGATATACAGTAGATGGAGACTTTATTGATCACCGAAAGAGACATCCATCCACACAAACAAAACAAATAGATAGAATACGAACAACACTTCAGATCACATCAGCAGCAAAAAGTTACCCTTCCTCCAGTGGATTTTGGCTGATCCGCTTGTTTCAGACCATGAATCCTCTCTGCTCCGGTCCGGACCTGTTTTTCAGAGACACTTAGGAGTCGCTGCCATTTCCAGTGCATTCAAAAGTACAATATACTGTATATACCACAGAGCTGCCATACCACTTCTAAAAGACCAGGCAAATGGCACACACAGACACACACTGATACACACTGATACACACACAGACACATTGATCATTCTCTGTGGTAGGGGGATGATTGAAGTAAATTAGCTCTGTACGATTGGTCTATCAACAGTCAGTGCTAATATGCTGCAGCACCATTGGATCATTGTCCCAATTATCGGAGTCAACGGCATGTTGTGTTCAAGAGCAGTGCATCAATCTGGATTTAAAGGCAATTCGTCTCAATTAGGAGCCGCCAGGAAAAGGTCTGCACACAATACACACAATATACACGATATATACAAAACACACAGCACACACGCAGGGCCAGGAGAGAGACCTCTTGTTTCACCGTCCACCGCACACTCTGAGGAGCCGAGACTTTTATACATCAGGTCCTATTGTGCTCAGTTCAATGTGTTTGAGAAAAACAATAGTTCCAATGGATAAAAGCCAACGCTGTCAAGACCAGACAAGTGTTTCTGCCCTGTTTTGTTAGGCTTGTTATTCTTGGGTTTCATATGACGTCAGGGCAGTGAATAACAAACGTAGGACAGGACGTGACGTATCCTGGCGGTGCAGTCTGCCGGGTTTATACACGGAGATATAGTAGAAGAAGAAGCGGTTTATACACAGAGATATAGTAGAAGAAGAAGCGGTTTATACACGGAGATATAGAAGAAGAAGCGGTTTATACACGGAGATATAGTAGAAGAAGAAGTGGTTTATACACAGAGATATAGTAGAAGAAGAAGCGGTTTATACATGGAGATATAGTAGAAGAAGAAGCGGTTTATACACGGAGATATAGTAGAAGAAGAAGCGGTTTATACACGGAGATATAGTAGAAGAAGAAGCGGTTTATACACGGAGATATAGTAGAAGAAGAAGCGCTGTCAAAACACCATCTTTGTGCGCGGTGTACGTTTGTAGCAACCGCACAAATAGAGAGAAAGACAAGAGTTTGTTCATGTTCCAACTGTGTCTCATATAAAGGAGGACACTTTGAAAAAATCACTGGAATGAGGCGGGCGAGGTGGATCAAGGCTTTCCCAGATAAGCGCCCCCTGCAGGCCACCCCAATGAAACACAATTTCTCCTTTTTTTTTTCCAATAATGCCCGAAATCAAGACTCTTTTGAGAAATATTTTTTTAGTACTCCCTTAGAATTGAGTGTCCCTGATTAAGACTGTTCCAACAACCGTACACCGCACAGGAGGAGAGCCTCTGACTCCAAAAAAGACTTTACACGGTTTTCAATGGGAGCAAAACTGATTTGTCCGACATCTGTTCATTCTTCCCCTACAGGCCAGTTTAATGAAACCCAAGAATAGCTCAGTTCATACAGAAGACATCACACAAGGCATTCAAATCCCTGTGCTCCTCAGAGTCCCAGCAGGAGGCCAGTCCCTGTGCTCCTCAGAGTCCCAGCAGGAGGCCAGTCCCTGTGCTCCTCAGAGTCCCAGCAGGAGGCCAGTCCCTGTGCTCCTCAGAGTCCCAGCAGGAGGCCAGTCCCTGTGCTCCTCAGAGTCCCAGCAGGAGGCCAGTCCCTGTGCTCCTCAGAGTCCCAGCAGGAGTCCAGTCCCTGTGCTCCTCAGAGTCCCAGCAGGAGGCCAGTCCCTGTGCTCCTCAGAGTCCCAGCAGGAGGCCAGTCCCTGTGCTCCTCAGAGTCCCAGCAGGAGGCCAGTCCCTGTGCTCCTCAGAGTCCCAGCAGGAGGCCAGTCCCTGTGCTCCTCAGAGTCCCAGCAGGAGAGCAGTCCCTGTGCTCCTCAGAGTCCCAGCAGGAGGCCAGTCCCTGTGCTCCTCAGAGTCCCAGCAGGAGTCCAGTCCCTGTGCTCCTCAGAGTCCCAGCAGGAGGCCAGTCCCTGTGCTCCTCAGAGTCCCAGCAGGAGGCCAGTCCCTGTGCTCCTCAGAGTCCCAGCAGGAGGCCAGTCCCTGTGCTCCTCAGAGTCCCAGCAGGAGGCCAGTCCCTGTGCTCCTCAGAGTCCCAGTGGGTTCATATGGCACTAACATGTCACAGATGTACTTTGGTGCGAGGCTGTGGAGAGACGTACATGAGCAGAGCTGCTTTAAAGTCACATTACTGTGGGTTGATCTAAAGGCAAAACAACGTCAGGTCCGTTTTTAGAAGATGGATAAATATAACAGTAAAAAGCTCACAAAGTACATTTGCAATCAGCATGAAAGAGTCAACCTGCGTCAGATGTATGCCCCGCTAAAGCTCTATTGTATGCACTTAATTACTGCTATATACAAGGGCACTAAGAAATTCTATGATCATTTATTGTGCATAACTCTTTACTTTTACCTACAAAAATGATTCTGATCTAAATGACAGTGCTTGTGGCTCAAACGCACACTTTCACAGCAGTTAAGAGTAAAAAAAACAGCTTTCTTCTCTTCCCCGCCGCACAATCGGACACAAAAGCTCCACAAAACCATCCAAACTGCGCATTAGCAAACAGCGGCCTCCATTGTTCTCGCCGCAGACGTCTCCGGCTCGTCTCTCGTTGTCGCTTTGATCGTCGACGTCGCTCATTCTTAAACCGTGCGACTTCAAACGCCGCGCTCTAGCTTTCGTTTCTCCGCAAATGCCACTTTTACGGGACACGCGGCGGTGTTTGGCCGACAGGTGGGAGTCATCGCGGCTTATCCCAGGTTTCGCAGGATCCCGGTTTGAGGGCTCGGGCGCGGAACATGAAAGGGAATTTTGTGTCAGAAGCAGCGGATGAATTATGCAGCGGCGGAGTGGATTTGCAGGTCCTCCTGAAATTAATATGATACTGAATAAAGAAATGAGACGCAGGGTTTTGAAGAGAGAGAGTTGGAAAAAGGAAAGGAATTAGAGAAAAGAGAAGTGGATGGATCTGATTCATGCTCAAAGTTCTGTTAAGCAAAGTAGGAAGTAATCTTTATGTACACAGCGCCTTAGCACAGACCAGAGTAACTGAGTATTTGTCTCACACCCCACTCAGGGATGGGGTAAGGACACATTCAGGAAGCACATGCCAGAACCATTTGTAAAACGTGTTTCATGAGAGAGATTACATTGATAACACAGTAATATAGTTTGGACCACTCAGAAAAATAAGTTCTCTCTGGGAGGAAATGACAGTGCGTATGGAAAATTCTGACAACTGTGGTGCTAGCGACATATTTGTGTTATTTAGATTGGCAAAGAAGGGGTATTTACAGTATGTACAGGCTCAAGTGCACTGGACGGATAATATTTACAAAACAACAAACAACCGCTCTTCCCATCCACCGAGCTCACGGTAAGAGTCCGATAATAACGGCTTATCAAACGAGCGCGAGGTCTGTACAGAGAAATATCAGACCGCGGGCTTTTTGTACAGACCGAGCCGTGGCGAGGTTAATAAATGTTTTTTTATATGACTATTCTTAAATTTGTGCAAATATCAGTTTTAACGAGCAAAAACACATTTGACCAAACTGTCAAACCGTGACATGGAGAACTGATCAGATGATTGAGGCGCCCGCTGTAAGTTCTCAGTCTGTGTCTTTACCAATGCTTTTTACATATTTGTGAAGTATGTTTATGTCCCACTTGGTTTTCTTAATCATGTTTTTACCTTTCTGGTCTGTAACGAAGTTGTCAATCTCTTCTTGACTGTTTGGAGCTGTGTTTTTGTCGTTATTTGCTGTTATTACTTCCTCTGGCTCTTCCAACTCGTCCGGATAATAGAATACACGGACCATACATTATTTCTGTTTTACCGTGGAAAGATATCGAATCTGATACGCGCTGCGGACCAATTGTCATGGTAACGGTCCGAGATGGGAAAATATCAGGCCGCAAATCAACCAATCAGAGCGCGCGTACGGTCCAAGTCATATAATACAGTTAGGCCTCTTTGTCCAAGAGGAAAACAGCTCTATGGTTTTTGGTCCATATGAAGAACTATAGCTCCATGGAAACACCCACGTAATGTTGGGGGCTGTGGGGGTGAGCGAGTGTCTACAGCGTGTCCTACCGCAGCAGAAGGCTGATCAGACAAACCCAATCGGACCTTCTTTCTAGCTTTAGCATAATACAGAAGCAAGAATACAATCTCAATCTTTAGCATCATTAAAAAGTAAGTGTAAAATATCTTGCTTTAGTATAATAAAAATGAAAGAAAATGCAAAATTTGCAAATGGTGGTGCAACTAAAAAGATTCATAGATCAACAAACCATTATGCCCGAACCAGAACATTTTGATGGACGTGAGAAATATTATAATAATAGTAAATACTCTCTCCATAAGAAACCATAGGTAATTCTTTAAGCGTGAATTTTTCCCCCAAACTTTTGCCTGTATTTATAACTGTGCCTCTCGCTTGTCTCTGGAAACACGCTGCAAAGATATACTTTTGTTTGGAGCTTAGTCAAATTTAACAATGCTTAAAATAACAAGCGGGAGGGACCATTACGGAGAAGGAGTTTTGAGCGGTGTGCCGGGATAATGGCCTCCGATTCTGCTCTCTCTCTCGGCGAACGGAGTCAATCCAAGAATACAGCTGCTGCTCCATGTTTGTGTGTCTGCTATGACCCTAGCTTGCTTCAAATACTGTTTAAACTTGACTTCTCATTTTTTTTTTTTATGCAAAATCAATATCTTTCTTCTCACTGTGGTATTCAGACTCATGTACTGTTAGCCTGGTCTTACCACACCATAGTACAAATGACATTTCGTACTAAGGTCTGGATTTGCTCCATTGACTCTTTTAACTACTTTTGCAGATTGAAACCATTGGATCTGAGTTTACTGTGTGCGAGTTGTTAGCATTTAGCATTTAGCCTAGCTTTAGCCATCTCCTTTGCCGCTAACGGAGCCCGTGGGGAGTAGCGCCACAATCTTTGCAGCGATTACATTTTCTAAACATTCCTCTTGCTCCGGCTTCAGTTTCTTGATAGAACCAGACCGGATTACTTTACTATCGCATTCTTCGCCAAACTACAACCTGCCCGTTCGACGCAAACTCTTGACGTCACCCACATCTAACTAGAACACCCGCCTCCCGCGCTCTCTGATTGGTCGGTCGAATTTCAACTGATTGTATTCACTAACACAGGGACCAGACCCAGACGTTACACGCAGTGAAGGATGGATAAGGCCAGGCTAATGTACCGTTTGTGTGTGTGTCATAATCCAATCGTTTGATTTTGTTATTTCAGATAACAAAATCTGAAATAGTCTAGCAAGAGACTAGGGCAATGATGTCTTCGTCAAACTTTTTGGGTATTAGGGTGAAGGAGCCAAATCTGAAGCAGCCTTCCTGAATATTTGAGATAATGTTAAAACCAGTTCTGTTTAGCTGTAGAGACAACTCAGGGATTTTATCTGTATTTATGATTATGCCTTGTGTGATTGTATCTTGTTTTGTTAAGCACATTGAGTTGTCTTGTTTATGAACTGTGCTGTACAAATATACTTGCCTTTCAGAATTGGCAAACGGACAAATCAGGCAGAAGTAGCTTGAGCCGATTTATGTCACAACCGATGTTAGTGAGAACAGTGCTAAAAAATATTCCTGGTTTGTGTCCAATGATATGAGGCAAAAAAATAAAATAAATTGAGATAGGGAATAAATAATCATAAATATTTAAAATAATCAAAAATATTTAAAATAATCAAAAATATTTAAAATAAGTCTTAAATCAGGAAAAAATTAAAAAATAGAAAAAATAAAATCTGTCATAGGGCAAGCATAAATTAGACGAAGCAAAATTTTTTAGAATAATTTAATTTTCTCCTGTTTCCATTTGTTCTCGTGAAACCCTCCCTTCTCCTGAGTCTCGCTCTATTGTCCTGCATCTCGTTCGTTTCACCGCAGCCATACATCACCGCGGCGACGGGCGTGATGTCACCCTCTGACACACGACCTCTGACCTGCCGTCGGCTTCGGCAGCGTTCGTCGGTTTTGAATGAAGACGGATGGATCTTTGCGTCGAGACCTGCCGACGTTACAGACACACGCTCCATGCAAATCACCAGAACCTGACGCTCTATTGAGTCTCGGCAAATAACCGTTAAATATTTAACAGCCGACGAGGAGATTTAGTGTCGTAACATTGTGTAGGCAAAGTTTAATAAGCAGAATAAGGCAATTAAATTAAATACGAGCATGAATATTTACATACGGACGGAAGTAGGCCGCGCAGACAGACTCGAATTAGCGTTCAAGCGTGTAGCAGTAATTGGTTCATTTGACTTCATGAATCTGGGAAACTATTTTGTTTTGCCGCCTGGTAACGCCGTTTGTGTTGATCCCAAATAGATCCAGAGAGGTTTCTCCACCTTTTTAATGGTTCATTTGGGAGCGTTTGGAGTAGGGTTGCCAACTTGAGATCAGAAAAATACCTGGGGTGGATCGGGTTGAGCACTTTTTAGTCCTAATTTCAATCTACACAGGAATCATGGAATTTCATAATCACAGTTTTTAGTTATTTTTTGACTACATAAAAAAAAAAAACAAAAAAAAACAATATCCTTAGTTAAAGATTAAATTAAATAAACAGGTGGAACTCTTTGGCTGGTTAAGGACTTAATGCATTCTTATTAGTCATGAAAAGACAACTACCATTGTTTGTGTATGTTAGAGTAAAAGCAATCAAAAAAAGAAAAAGAAAAGTATTCATTTAAAATATATAAAAACATGTTGAAATCAAAGTCTGTAGCAGTTAGATATGGGCATTATTTACAGTGTGTGAGACTTTTGTGCGTGTAAATAGCATCACATAAAAGCCATTGTTCGTTACAAAGCAGGTCTTGACATTTGTTGACGCTCCCTAAGTGCTTTTCCAGGCGCTGGCAGCAGATTGGATTCAATGGATTGCTCTGTATTAAAACATCAATGCTGTAGTTGTTAGGCTGTGCAAAGGTGATCATTTTGGAACGATTACTTTTATTCAACTACGTAGCTTTCGTGAGCTATTGACCGCAGAAGTCTGAATCTGGGAATATGAAGCTAACTTTACCGAACTTCTGGCCCAGCGCTTGTCAACATTAAATGGATGTGATCGAGCCGACGCCCCATTGACACTGATTGACTGAAAGGTAGATACTTAAACTGTTGTGTGTGTGTCCTCTCCCCCTCCCTACTCCCTTCTCCCTCCCTCCTCACCCCCTTAAGTCTTTCCTGCTCATCCCCCCCTCACCTAGCCCCCTCTGACGGCCCAAATTGGCGAAGGGTTGTCTGAGTTTATTTCCATAATGAAAACGTCCGTGTTTTTTCCAAAACATACTGTGTTTATCCAAACTGTCTGTGATATGTATGTTTCTGCTCTCTGCTGTTTATTCTACTGTTTGTCGCATGGCGCCGTAAAGATGGCGTCGTGGCAAGAGCTCTGGTGTGTGTCGTCTTCTCTGTCTGGTGCACACTGGGGTAGTCTTGCACAGTTTTTCCAATGTGGTTTTACTGCAAATGGCAAATAAATGAATCTGAATCTGAATCTGTGTGATATGCAGTGAGTGAGTGATGCATTTAAGGCGACTCTGAAAATACAAGACAAAAGCCTTCCTGTATCGACTCAATACAGGACGCACATAGTTTTTCTAAAATACAGGGCAATTCCGGATTTTAAGGGACGGTTGGCAACCCTAGTTTGGAGAGACTTGTACGCATAGAGAAAAGCACCGGAGAGAATCAGCAAAGTCCAGGAGAGAGAAATGAGACAAGTACAGGGTCTTCCACAGCAAAGGTTTTTAAACATGACTAAGGTTCAGGTTTTAATCAGAGGATACAACTTCAACAACAGTATTTAAAGTCACAACACAAGTCAGAAATGTGTATTCTTTCTGTTGTGTCTTTTATACAACAAATGAATATGGAAGAAGACTCGGAGATGGGTTTACTGATGAATTACCGGTAACTGACGCTAAGGTTACCATGACAACTTAACAAATCAGTGCGCGTACACATGACATGGAACCAATACAATGTGTAAGTCCGCCAAAAGAAATAGTACCACCCATACACTACACTTTCAGCGTGTAAGGTTTGATACTTTAGCAAAGCCCCGCCCACAAGTTCAATTCCTCATGGGAGTTTCCAAAAGTCCAAAGTTGAAGAGTTAGAAAGATTGATTTGAAATGACATGGAGGCGTATAAAGAAATGCACATACATCCACAATGCCCAGTATTTTTACTACTGTTGTGGCCATTTGTTTCTCTCTGCACAGAGTGATGGGAGCGGGAGTCGCCTGTACAGTATACGGAAGGTGCATGCCAACTATTGTACGTATTTTTAGAGGTAGGGAAAGCCAAACTCCACACAGAAAAGGTTTGGCAAAGTTGTAAGTGCTTCTCATTCCTGACCGTGAAGCTCAGAGAATTATTGAGGGACTTGAATTGGCGTGTGGTTTTACTATCTCTGCATGTGTCTCTGTATCAAGAGTGTCCATGAAAAAGAACCTTGAAGAAGTCTCTCCAAGGAGCAGGTGTGTTTCATGGCAACTGTTGTGATAGCCATCCATTATAGACAAGCCAGAATGTACAAAGTTGGTTCGTGAACACACAAGCAGAACACACACTCTCACAAATAATCCCCGCACACACAATTTGGTTTTACATCCATATTTTACGCCGCAATCTGTTGAGCCGAGTCCACTGGGCCCTATCGTTCAATAATAGATGCATTAGAAAAGGGAGCATTTCTACCACTGTAAAAGTCCATAAATAAATCAGGGTTATGGGCGTGTGCGTGTTTTCACTGTCTCCGCGGCGACGTCTTATAAAGAGCCCTTTTTACAAGTGCTTCCTGCTATTAGCACCATGTTTTCACCCCCACGGATTCACCAGGACGCTTTAATGGCATGATATTATTTAGAGGCAGATGTGGGGAAGGGTAACCGGATTTTGCCAAACGACTTTTGGCATGTAAAACAACACAACCGTGGAGTAAGTTAGAAATAATGACCGTGAATATGGTGTGGATAACTTTGAATAGTGAAATATTTCAGTCTGTGTTGACGTGTTTGAATCCAGACTCAAATACAGCTCTTAGAAAACCATGTTCCAGCTTCTTCTCTCTTGCTGAAGATATGGATCGCTGCGATGAAAGACACCCAAGATATCTGCTAAGTTTTTTTTAATTCAAGTTAGCCCTAAATCACAACAGTCGTTTTCTCAGAGGACCTAACACAACCGTTGAAATCGCCAACACAGATCAGAGAATACACATATGTATTGGTCCGTAGGGAGTCGACCAATGTCCGTGGAAGTTGATGCATTCCCACAAGATTTTGTCAATTTGGAAAAAGCACTAACACTTTTTGTGTTCCTCACTCTGGGACAATTACAGAACATTAAACTGAATTTTAGCTTCTTTTGTGTATGTGGTTGTCTAGTGCAAACCGCAACCTCTCCCACTCTCCCTGACTCAGGTTGCCAGATATGCAGACGAATCCAGCTGGGACCATAACAGCTGAATAGACAAGTGTTTTGTCAACAACAAATCTATAACCAACACCTTTATCACAATAGCCACAATAGAAATCCTGAGAATCATAACGAGACCTGTTTTAGTTCTGCGCTACATGGTACTTTACCAGTGAGCTTAGCTGGACGCAGTGAGATCTGGCGCCCGGATCACAGACTTTCTGATTGTTAAAACGGTGGAGGGCAGGACATCAAAATCAAAACAGTAAAAACTTTTAGAGGCTATAAATCAAAATAATTATTGGAAAAGAGCATGGATTATGAATGCCGTTTGACAGATTAGGACCCTTTAATGATGACTTGACAAGAAAATCGTACATATTACTACGGTAAGTAAAATTATTTGGAATGTTCAGGCCGATGGTATCGACCGGTTGCCTCGCTTCTGTCAGTGTGCCCCAGGGCAGCTGTGGTGAAAGAATACTGACATGTGTAGGGTCATTGAGGTAGTAGCCAGGAGGTAGTAGCCAGGAGGTAGTAGCCAGGGGGTAGTTGCCAGGAGGTAGTAGCCAGGAGGTAGTTGCCAAAAGGTGGTAGCCAGGAAGTGGTAGCTAGGAGGTAGTAGCCAGGAGGTGGTAGCCAGGAGGTGGTAGCCAGAGGTAGTAGCTAGCAGGTAGTAGCTAGGAGGTAGTTGCCAACAGGTGGTAGCCAGAAGAAGGTGTTAGGGGGTAGTAGCCAGTAAGTGGTAGCCAGAGGTAGTAGCTAGGAGGTAGTATTCAGGAGGTGGTAGCCAGGAGGTGGTAGCTAGGAGGTAGTAGCTAGTAGCTAGGAGGTAGTGGCTAGGTGGTATTAGCTAGGAGGTAGTAGCCAGAAGGTAGTAGTCAGGAGGTGGTAGCCAGAGGTAGTAGCTAGCAGGTAGTAGCTAGGAGGTGCGTCATTGACCACAGCACTATAATTTTTTAAAAGACATGTTGCAATATTTGTTCTTTACTTTCAAAGTGACAGCAAGAACGTCATGTTTTACCTAAAATAACAAAAGAAAAGACAAGCCTTTTCCCACTTTTAACAAGAAAAAACACGTTGGTTCATTTGGAAACTCAAATCTTAAGAAACAAATTAAATACAGCCTTTATTATTATATTATTTCCTCGGCCGCGTGATTGAAGTTGATTGGAAGGTTTTGTGTTTTATTACTGATTGAAAGTATCAGTACAACTCACAAAGCATGTAAGTGTATCGTAGAAACAGAAAAACACCCCATTATGTATTAAATATTCAGTCTTTCTCATGCGTCGCTCCCTCTCCCCCGATGGCTCTCTTCATATTCTAATGTTGTTATGATTGAGACATCACAGACACACAGAGGATATCAGCGCCTCAAATGGAACCATGGCACTTGTCCTGAATTGTGTTTTGTCGCTGTCCTATCTCTTCCAGCTGATGCCGACTACAAAGATATATGTGTACGTCAACTGTGGCAAGATTAGGGGCTGTTTTTGCAAAGTCGACGCAAGCATTGTCTGTATGGCAGACGAGAGCAGAGAGCCAAGGGGAAGTACGGCCATATAAGGACGTTGGTAACAGGATGGACATGAAAACATAC